CAACGGGTGCACTGCCCAGCCCTGCTGACCCCACAGTGCTTCTCCTGTTGAAGCCACTGTTTGAGGTCAGCAGGCAAGGAACAAGGAAGTCCACGGGTGCGTGCTCACTGCTCCAAGTTGTTCCTAGAAATCACTTCTTATACTCCCCGTCCCCCCAGATGGTACAAATTTGTCAAGACCAAGTCGATTGACTCAGCTCAAGAACAACGACTCTCTGCTTCTCCAGATGCCCTCCCACCCCCACACAGCTGGGGCCTCCTTCCTGTATTGGAGTCTGATTCTCTAACGGGCTGAACTGCAGACTTGGGGTTCCTTCCCGCCCATGTGCGTGGATGTGGCTCCTGAGAGCTGACGGTCAGATTTTCAGCATCTGGCCAGAGAGTTGGTGGCATGTGGGCAGCTGGAAATAAGGCCTGGTGGGAATATTTTTACCACGTTAGTAGGCAAATGCTACACATCAGGGCTCCTCCCCCCACCGAGGCTGTTGACCGCTCTTCAGCCTCCACTGGGTTCAGTGAAGGGTCCCTGGGCCTGTGGACGGCCTGACCCATTTCACGAGGGAACGAAGCAGTGGTTGTGCTCTTCTGCTGCTTCCTGTTCTGACCGAATCCACTGAACTCTGAGCAAGGCGGACACTGTCTTCAGCCCTGCGAGCGTCCTCCCCACCCGTCTCAGGAGAAGGGTTCTCTCCTGGCTCCAGGCTCATCCGTCTCCCTGGCCTCAGAAGAGCCCCCTGCTGAGACCTAGAAGGATTTCTAAGCACGACCTCCACGCGGCTTACCCCCTATTGCAGGGGGGTTGATTTATGAAGCGGAGAGAAGGGGTCCATCGAGGCACCAGTGACCTCTCAGACATGCCAACTCCTCAGTGCTCCTCTGAGAGCTGGGCCACATGCTGGAGGCCTGCCACCACGAGCTGTGTGGCGGCGGGGACGTTATTTATCATCTCTACCCTCAATTCTTCATCTCTGAAACGTTGGCAAGAGAATGATAAGGCGCTTGCTGCTTGCCATTGCCTCGAGATTCAGTTCAGCTGCACCTTCTGTTAGTGGGAATGTGGTCGATCTGCAGACAGGGCCACGTGGACTCAAAACCAAACCAAAGATGTCATCCAGAGACCAACAGCAACAGCAGTACCTCATTTCTGGAATGGACCCACTTACCAGCCTGCGGTATACGCTCATAAAAAAAATGGAAGAAAGGAGAGAAGAGAAGAGAAAAGAAAAAAGTAAAGAAATGAAAGCATTGTTTTCATTCTAGCCTCTCTGGGAACAGATCAAAAATAACTGCAGACACACACTTGGGAGGACCTCATCCCTCCTTTGTCTGGCTCTTCCTGCGCACGTCTGTCTGCAGGGGGACATTCCATCGTCCCTGGCTCATGAACGCTGCGACTCAACGTCCTCTCTGATGACAGTGCCCTGGCTGTGCCTCCCTCTGTCCACCCTCTGGCTTCCTGAAATAGCTTTTTCAGCTCTGCCAACTCAGTCATATCGATAATAAATGCTGTGGGTATCAATATTCTTTGCTGAGAAAGCTCAGCAGCCAAGCTTCTGTTTTGGAAACACACCAAATTCCTTTACTCCCTCCAGACGCCTGGATGGTTTGAGATATCAGCTTGTGTCCATGCTCGGTCTTCAGCCTTCCACACCTGACATATCTGGCTCCTCACTCATGGCCCAGGAATAATTTTCAGTGGAGTTTATCCTCACAGATCATTGGAGAATGAAAACTACATGCCATTGCTTCTCCAAAGACATAATTAGTCCTCATTAAACTGTATTGCCATCCACAACCAATGTCTGTTTCATGGATACACATATGGGAATATCAGAAACTTGTGTTTCCAACTATATATAGTCATTACAGTATTTTATCATAATCAATCGCAATCATAAGCAACCATGTAAAATACAAACAGGGAATATAGCAGGACGGGGGTGGAAACTGTGGGAGGGTTAGGGAAGGGTGCCACTCCCCTCTCCGTGACTCCAAGAATCGTCCTTGTGTCTAACCAGAGTTCACCTGGATGACACAGAACCAACCGAGCAGGACAGAAAGGGAATAACCTTTCACTTAACACAGCTTGTTTATGAAACTCTTTTTATTTTTTAGGAAAAACAAATGCTTTCTTTAAAAAATACTGAACCCCAAATCTGCAGCCATTGGAATTGTTATGGAGTCAGCCGCATTCCTGAACTGGATGTTACGTCTGCAGACAGTGGGTGGTAAGAAAGAATGTTCTGCTTTCTCTCCCGAAAACCCCAGATTCCTCCCCAAGAATCCAGGAGAAACTCGGGAATTGTCATCATGCGCTAATTACCAAGGCAGGGCTCTGGTTAAATGTTCCAGAAAGATTTTCAATAAATATTAAAAGAAAAACCATTCCCTGGTTATCACTCATTTAACTAGTGATTCAAATAATACAGTTTTCTCTGAAACTCTTGGTTAATTAATGTATGGAGACAATAAAGTGTTCCTGATTACTAATAATAACAACATATTGCTCGCTTCTAGTATTTGCAATAGCTCTGACTCCCAATTAGGAATTCAGTCCCAAGGGCTCTTTGTTTAAGGGCAGCGTCAGAGGCTGGCCCCGTGGCATAGTGGTTAAGTTCGTCCACTCCACTTCAGGGGTCTGGAGTTCACAGGTTCAGATCTCAGACACGCTCATCAGGCCATGCTGTGGCAGCATCCCACAAAGAACTAGAATGACCTACAACTAGGATATCCAACCAGGTACTGGGAATTTGGCGGGGGAACAGAGGAAGAGCAGCAATGGATGTTGGCTCAGGGCCGATCTTCATCACCAAAAAAAGCATACGTCAAAAAAAAAAAAAAAAAAAAGTGGAGCATCAACTCCAAGAATTCTCAGGGGTCTGGATTCCCCAGTCACCATTTCCCAGCTTTCTCTCTGTCTCATAATCTGTAATCAACGCAGAACTTCAGCTTAGATGTAGTTGCTCAAAACCCCCTCCGCGGCCCGCAGTCTGGTACTAAGGCTCTCTGAAGCTTGTTTTCTACTCTGTGGGGTAACCTGGCAAGTTATTTTTATCCTCGTCTGCAGTCTTACCTCACAGACCCCAGGGAGGCCTTGGGAGGGGCCCGGGTGATGCCTTGCCTGGTCCTCATTTAACTGCACGTAGCTAAGACCTCTGTCTTTCTCTGCCCGACTTCCCTCCATCCTGGGCCCCCTGGGGCGAGGCACCGGGAGGCTGCCGGCAGTTTTGGGACCCAGTGAAGGGGAGCTGAGGTGGAGCTGTATTTAGTTTGGGTTTGTGAGGTGTGCTTATCTGTCTCACACACATTTCTGAGTGAGGTTAGGTTACTGTATTTGCAATTTTGCATTTTTTCATAAAGAGATTGCTGCAGACTGTTTAAGCTTCAAGCCCTACGAATCCTGTGCCCGTGCCTGTGGCCTCTACAGCTTTCCAGAGCTCGCTCTCCTTTCCGTCAACGGAAGATGGAAACATGGATTCTGAAAAAGTGCCACGAAGAAACAGCCTGTTTCAAAGCACATGCCTCCAACTGAACGTAATATACTCCCAAACTGCCAGATTTAGGTCCTCAGTGCTTCCACCCCTTTTACTAACACAGATTACCAAAAGTTGACTAAACGTGGAAAAATACAAACAAATACCTTTAAATCTAATGAAAGAGGTGTCACCTGTCAAAAAGATATTCAGACATCACGTAAGCAGCAGGAGGTAAGCAAGGGCACCCTGGGACGAGAGTGCTCTGGCGGGAGCCACTGGAATACTGTGAGCCTGAAAACCTCAAGACGCGCTGGAGAAGCAGCTTCCAGAGGGCCTCCCAAGCTCTCCCACAGAACGCTCTGAGGCAAGAGGTCTACGGGACTTAGGCATGACAGAGGAGAGGGCCCTCCTCCCCTACAGGAACCCTTTGAGGTAAGTAGACAAATAAATAAAACAGAAGAAGAGGAAGGACCTGCCAGTGTCACCCATGCGGCCACACCAATGCAAACAAAATACTAATACAAAGCTAAAATTGTTTCCAGTCTCCCCCTTGCTCCCTCCATCTCTCTACTTTGCTGGTGGCTCCCAGACTCGGTCCAGGGAGTGTGACTGAGGGTGGCCTGCTCTCCACCACAGCTCAGGGTCCGGTGTCTGTGCTCCAATGCAGTCTTATCGGCTGCCCCATCCTACACCTCATGACCCCATAGCCCAGATAGTGTTAACATTCAGATTGTGACTTTATCCATTCCCGAAATACAAGAATGTCAAGCAACTCTGTACAATTTCAATTGTACTTAAAAAGTAGTTATGGAACATTATTTCCTTAAACTCAAAGAAGAGATATTAAAAATTGATGCTAAACATTCAGATATAACAATGCCATGTGTGATGTGTCCCTCTGATTAATTGCATGAGGAGAAAACACATGTGAAGTGTTGACAAGGTGTTTCCAAACAATGTGTTCACAGGTCTCCCATCTTTGTTTTCCTCTCTTTTTCTTTAGTGTACTGAAATTATCCTTTAGTTTGTCCTTAGTTTTTATTAAAATTGGGATGTTGACAATCCATTTCTACACAAAATATGGGACAGATCAATACTTGTTGGTGGTAAAATGACAGGTTAATGCAATGAATTTGTAAGTTGTGTCTAAGATCCTTTGAATTAACAGAGCAGTTTGTTCTTGGTCTTATAGGCGATTTGTCATGTACCTAATGTAGTTTGTGAAACTCTTCTTTTAAATTTTGACTTCTGTTGTATTTTTAAATATTAATTTCCTGCTAATATTGACTGAGAAACGTGTGATATTTAGTAGACTCAAATAATGTGTTTCAGTGACCACAATTTTAGGACATAAGAGTCTCTAGGAGGCGGTGTGACACGGGCTCTCTGACGTCCTTGCTGCGGGATTCTGGGGGGCACACCTGAGGACTGACTGACTTGCTTCCCGCGTGGAGGGCGCACTGGGGTTTTCCTTTAGGTTTTACTTCACATGCGGTTGGGCAGCAGGTTGAACTTCATTCCCTACCTTCATCTCGATTTGTTTGGTGTCTAGATTCTGAAAGAGCAGCTTGACTCGCGTTTTTCCATCATCTGAAGACCCCTTGAGCTGAGAGAATCTAAACCTCCAGAGCACATTCTGTAAAGGAATGAAATTAATTAGCAATTTAGAAACAAGAGCTCATTGATTTAATTAACACCTATTAATATGTTAAATGATCTATTTAAATAAATGCAGACATTTGCTTAACTCTTTACATTGAGCATGTGGTAATTTATCAGAATCTCTCCCTTCTTATTCTCCAGTCCGTGGGCACTGACCTCCTCAGACCACCCACTTTCCTCCTCCCGCTCCAGTCAGCCTGGAGGCACCCCCAGGAGAGCTCGCCAACTTCCAGGTCTCCTCTCCAATCCCGCTCTACCCTTATCAGCCTTCCTGGTTTTCCTGTGGGTTTTTCTGTACACAATCTAGAAGCATCATAAGATTATTGCTCTTTATTTTTTTTTTTGCTTGTAAAACTTTAAAAACTCCACTACAAGGGCCACTTCTTGCTACAGTATATGAGATGGTCTAGAGTCCAGATAAAATGAAAACCTTTAATCTCAACTGACACGCCCCCATCTGAGACTATGTTCAAATCACTTAAGGTTAGTTTCTCCTGAAACAAGTTGAAAAATGTAGACAATATTACCTCTTCGTACCAGTGCAAAAATTACGTAATGTTTGCTACGGTGCTATAGAGACGAAATGTACTCTATAAATTCTTACTCTTTAATAAAAAAAAAACTTGCTTCAAATAAAGACTTAATGGCTGTCTTTTATAAAAGATAGTGTTTAATTACAGGCTCTTCATGATAATAAATCTTTATCTTCCTGGGAAAAATCTCAATGGGGACAGCAATTATTTTTTAGCAAGCTACAAGTTGAGTTTCTATTAAAAGCATTTATTTTGAAATAATGAACATATTTTTCTCTAAGTGTCAGAAAAGCAAAGAGTTTGGGGAAAAAGGAGAGAGTTTCAAAAGCACTTTTATCCTATTTGGCCCTTGACCTGTTTATCCGCCGTCCACACTGAACTCAAGTTCGCGGCCGCGGCTTTCTTTCATATAGAATCTCGAAGCTGAACAGCGTCTGCATTTCATGGCAGGGTGTCAGCGTCCCTTCCAGATTTTGAGAAACCTGGAGCTCTGTAGGGTATTAGGGAACGGTTACTCCAGCTCTTTCATTTTCACAATGGGGAAGCTGAGTCTATGCCCCCAAATCGGGTGGGGCCAGGAGCCCTGACTCCAGGCATTAGGGCCCCTTCAGACTAGAATTACTAGACTCCATCCAGAACGAGGACATTGAGAAGGGCAGTATGTTCCACAAGTGCCACTGGGCCACTGAAATAAGCCAGGAAACCAGGGCCACCACCAGCATCAGAGGATCTACTGAGAGTGACAGACCGGAACGGGGACAGCGCTCTGACCCGCTCGCTCTCTACAGGCCCCCGCATAGCGGCATCCTGGGAGCTCCTCCTGGTCTCCACGAAATTCCCACTTCCCAGGTGTTTGCTCAGCACCTCTGGGGGCTGGAAAGACGGCTGTGATTTCAGCCTTTAAGATTTAGTTAAAACAACCCAAATCTCACCTGCCTTCAAAGTCACCCACTCCCACGCTTTCATATGAGGAACCTGCAATCTTGTGTACATGTCATCACGAGAGGCGAGAAATCTTGGATATCACGGTTTTGCCTAATTCCTCATAAAATAAGCAAGACCCAAACTGCTCTGGGAACAGCAATCACCTGGTATTTGGTTCAAATTTGACTAAGAAGAAGAGCTCAACAGTGGTAAAATTTTAGGAATTACCTCAATAATTAACATTTACATAGTATTATAAACAGCTGTTAAAGTATTATACACAAAAAGGTGCAAAAATATCTATATGAAAGCTCCGTTTATTGTTTAAAGAATTCAAAGTGGTCCTCACAATTAAGTCCTTTGTGTGTACGATTACTCTCTTTGGGTACGTTATTTTTGCACTGAAACCATCCTAAGTGTGTGCTGGTTTGAGGAAAACGCTGCCTCGCGAGACACACACGTGCACAGTTTGTTTGCTTAAAGCCCTGTGCTAATTTCATAACACAGCCCTTGTTTGGGGTGAAGCAAGACAAGTACTTTGATCAGCTTCTCAAAGCAGCAAGTTGCCATGAAGGAATTGGTCCACACGCGCCTACAAGGAAGGACAAGGAAGGCCTGGGACGGGCGGCGGGCGTCATCTCTCAGCCATGCGCGGTCAGCGTGGCCAAGGAGGAAACGAATTCCTGGGGCAGCATTTCCTCTCACAGCAGTAATTTTTGAATCGTCTGTGGTGGTCCTTTGGAACTCTTTCTGAACTTTTATTTCATGCACCTAAAAACAGTAACTTTTGTAAAACAAAAAAGAATTTTCTATTTCCATTCCAGATGACATTTCTGCACGTTTTATCTGAAAGTGGTTCTGGGCGATAGTTTAGTTTCAAGACTCCGGGCTCCTCTGCAAGACAGGACCGGACTGTCTGGGTCAGGATGTGGACTTTCTCCACTCACCCGGCTCCAGAGACGCCGTCCCCGCTGACTGCTGACCCTGACAGCAGCGGGGGCCGTTCAACAACCCTGGGGGACACACGCAGACGGGCCTGCGCCTTCCCACAGCCGTCCTCAGGTCTCAGTCTTGGAAGACAGAAACATTCTCCCACGGCTTTAGTAATTAAAAACAGTTTCATAGTTAAGTGTGTGTGATAGGAAACACGCTGTTTATGTTTATGATTTCAGGTTGTTGATGGTGACGGGCAATGCCCACTTCCTTTGCAGCAAACTTGAATTATTCAATACTGACAATGGAAAGTAACATTTTAATCTTTTATTGTAACAGCTCAACTGGCAGGACCAGAAGACTGTGATCAAAGGATGGGTGCCCTGTGGTGTCAGAGCAGAATTCGTTTTCGGTATTTTCCTATAGGGTCGTGGAGGAATTTCCTCCTCCTCCTCCTCAGGCCAAGGCCACATCTTCATTTCCTCTCCCACAAGACAGTCAATTCCTTTCCAATTTTTCCTTTTTTTCAAAAACCAATCTTTCCGTTCTTCCATGTCAGTCTCACAACATAATCGGGTTTTGGCCTAAAGAACAGGCTCCTCGGGGGCTCAGACCCAGAGCCTCTCACGAGCATCTCCACTGATCACCCTACATAGAGATGCACCATTTTCCTGCTCTGTGTGGGGAACACCCAGGTGGTAAAAAGGAAATCTGAAATGCAAGTTAACATACAGAGACAAGGCTGGCTTTTTCATATGCCCCCAAGGAAGGAGCAAACATGGAAAAAGCTCACTCTGGTTCTGGATCCCAACATCCTGGGATTATCTGCCTGTGGGGTGCGCCCAGACACTGAGCTGCGCACTGGACAGGGCACGAGGGAGGGGCCCCCTCCCAGGTCCTAGCGCCGCTTCTCGCTGTCAAGGCTCGGCTGTCCTCTGATGCCACACTGTTTCCTAATTCTCGCCATCGTCCTCTCCCGCTTCTGCTTAATCACGACAGAAACAGGACATCGGCTTGTGCTAAACCAGAGAGATCAAGACCAAATGTATTTCTTCTCCCGAGACATTTCAGATCTTCTCAGCTTAACTCCTCTTTACCAGTGTTGAAAGAGGAGAGCCAACGGTGAATGGACTCACGCTTGGAAGTCACTGCTCATCTCTGCTCTGGCTGGTATAGAATTGGGGAATTGGGACATTTGACCACATGTATGCTTCTGAGGTGGGTCCCATGCACATGGCCAGGATTAAAATTTGGGCTGTTATCAAAATCCAGAGTCGTTTTTGATATAGGCATTTGGTTAGTAAGTATGGCTGCCACGTTGTGAGTTGAGTTTTGACCCAGATATAATACACAAATGGTCTAACAGGCTAATATAGCATAGAAGTGTTAATTATCTTGTGAATGTAAGTGTGGTAAATTGGAATCTAAATAATTCTAGGCCAAAAAATTCTCTTTGATTTTTCCATAATGACTTATACAGAGGGCATATGAAGAAAACGTCATTTTCATAATTATTGAGTTATTTCATAATTATTTAATCATTTCCAGAATTATTTCATATCCAATCTGGAAATAATTGAAAACCTATTTACGCTGATCTTACAAATGTCATCTTACATCAAAGAATGAAGATATGTCAAATGAAGCAAAATTATAGTTTATAGATTTACAATCCATTGGTATATTCTTCACGGTGAAGCTGGAAAAGCTCTTCTTTTGAAAATTAATTCGAATATTGTAAATTCTAAAAAACAGTTTTAAGGAATACATGAAACAAGCCCCTGGAACAATTTTCTTTTTATACTGTCTTGTTTTGTTTTCATTTTCAGTTACTGTCTGAATACAAAATAGATACGTAAGAATTAGGCCAGAACTTCTTGAAATAAAGAAGTAACCACACAAAAAATGTGAAGTCAGGAGTTGACTTCCAGCGGGAAGCAGGTCAGGAGAGGGTCCTGGCATCTTAAGCTGAGGTCCAGGTGAGCAAACAGACAGCTCAATCAGCACTTCCTAAGAGCCTGACTTACAGACAGCCGACTGCCGCTGAGCGGGTTAAGATCCAGCTGAGGAAGGCCCTGGTCTTCCCCACAGGAAGAGGTGCTGGGGGCTGAAAGGTGGGGCCGTAGCGGGTTCCAGGGGAGCTACTCTGCGCCTGGCCCCCCTCCCACCACACAGGACCCAAGAAAAGGCCACAGAGAAATCAGCTTACCTACAAGAGCGCAGTTTAGTTATACGGTTCAGTTATCGGGACACGAAACATTACAGCTTCACCCTAAAGGGTCCCCAGCCAGCTCTGCACAGAGTGAAGAACACACCACGGCCATTTAAAGTTTCATGTGATCAGTCTTAGGGCCAGCCAGGGAAGCGCGCTGGATGCAAGGGCAGGGAGCGCCTCTGCAGGCCCTGAGCACCAGCCTGCCTGCCGTGTGGACTGTGGACGATGCACAGCACGAAGACGGAGGGTGTGAGGACAAGGAGGCAATGTCCTGAGGAGAGGGAGGCACGGGGCAGCCCAGAAGAAAGGAAATTCCCTGGACAGATGAATGTAAAATGTGCTGGTTTTTGTGAGCACGTGGGCGCCATAAACCACCAACTTCCTCTCTCGTCTCTGCTCCCCAGATAACCCCAGCCACTCTCGTGGAACCAAGCCCACCAGGCCAGCTCACACCGTGCGTGTGAGGCTCACGCTCGGGGACGCAGGTGTCAGAGAGGCTGTGTCTTGTCGTTAGCTCAGTCGCAGCTGGATCTTCCGATGGCCCCTCCAGAACATCAGCCTGGGGAGCCAACTTCCCTTCACTCCAACGCTTATAGTGGGGGACTGGGCTCCTCCGAGGGGAGCTCACCAGGCCCTCCCTCTTACAGCGCCCCACAATCACTAACGCTCGCCCTGGCCTGGCCAGCGAAAGAGCTGGGTAGACACAGCATGGCTCCAACAGAGCAAGAACATGCCGTGGGACCCACAGGAAGACACAGTGACACGACGGCTCACTTGGCGCCTGGCTGTCACACTAGGAAGCAGACCCGCCAGCTCCTGCAGAAGTGCTGACGCGAGCTAAGTTCCCCAGGCTAGTGCCTGGCTCCAGATGGAGAGCTCAGGGGCTCCCTCCAGCGCCGCCTGTCCCCAGGCCTTCAGACAAGGAAGGCCACCACGTGCAGCCAGGGAAGGGAACACGGGACCCCCGGCGCAGTTAGAGGGTTGCGAAAACCTGCTCTTCAGGTGAATTTGGAGTCACTGTTTAGGCTTCCTGAAGCATAGAATGACTTGAAACACGGCAAGAAACAGAAGTTATAAATCAGGCTTGAGAGCTAACAAACCATCTAGGTTTCCTCCTTCCTCCAGGACAGCGGCTTGGTATTTCACTTGTCTCAGAGGACGCGTGGAATAAGGTTGTGCAGATCTGGCTTAAGGCGAAACCGTAGGAACAGCAGGCCAGGGTGCTTATACAGGCGGGAGGCGAGTGGTGGACCAGGCAGGGCGGGCAGAACCCTGTGTCAGGCACAGGGAGCCTTTCACCCTCTCTGTGACCTTGATGTTGGATGGAGTCTTAACATTCTTAAGTATTCATGCATATAGACCTTGTTATCATTCTAAACACTATGTAGACCCCTACTGGAAAAACATCCTAACCATTTTCCTGGCACTAAGTAAAATGACAAGGACCACAATGAATTGTCTGGTCTAGAATCCTGTCAAGGATGCTGACTCCTACTCAGAACAGGGTCCCAACCCCGCACTGTTGACTTTGGACCTGAAAACTCTTGCTGTGGGGCCGTCCTGTGCATTGTAGGATGTTTAACATCACCTCTAATCTCCACCCACTAGATGCCAGTAGAAACTCCCCTCCAAGCCGTGACAATGACTCCAGGCATTTCCAAATGTCCTTGGGGGACAAATTCACCTCCGATGGGAACCACTGCTCTAGAAGAATGGAAAAGAAGTGAGGGAAACTTCTAAGAAAGAGGGTCACCTTGTCACACAGGCTCATGAGCTGGCTGCAGCGATTAATTCATTGGGAGAGTATCCCAAGGTTCTAAAACATAGATGTTTGGAAATAAACAACTGTGAGGAAGTGGGTGACAACTTGTAGGAGCTGAGACAAGGTTGTCTCTGCTCAGCGTTGACCCGCTGCACAGGCTCGGCCTGTTGACGGCGCCCTGAGCCTGTGTGAGGGCAGCCATGGGTGACGGAAACCCCATGCATGCCGCAACGACCGTAATAAAGGCGCATCCGTCACACTGAGACTTCCCATCTGTTCATACTTAACCGGTGGAGAGTGGACTTTTAAAACTAGTATAAGGCAAAGTACTGGCTCGATGTTTGCAAAACATTTTTATAACACTCACGTAGGTAGATGAACACTCAGGCCTTTTAGAGGAGCTAACGGAATGGGTCCAGTTCCCCACACGGGCAGTTTAGTGTCCAGGAAAACTGAAATCACTCGCAGCTTTGCATTCGCGGACTCAGCACTCGGCCTCATCCCACCAGGGCTGGGTCTTGTTTTACCAAAAACACTCAGTTTTTATGTTGGGCAGCAGTTAATGTTTCTTCTCAAAGGGTTTACCTTCCCTTGAGCAGGACCCGGGAAACCCTCACTGTGCTCGCTCGCTCCTCCGCCCGCGCTGATGCGGACGGCGTTCACGGGCACCACGAGGCCTCATGTCAACACTGCCTGCTCTGGGGTTTCTTGAAACCTCGGGACCCTGAGCTGTCAGACAGGAGACCATCTGTGAAGGTGCAACTCGCACACGACACAGCTCGGTGGGAGCGCCGACCGCTCCACACAGTTACGAGTGTTAACGTCCCTGAAATGGGACAACGCACCACCCACGGGGCCCCTCATGTTGACTGGTCAGCTCTTACCTTCGTCTTGCTGTCGAAACAGGTGAATCCCACAGCGAAGTCCACTGTGAAACACAGCACCTCTCCCTGCCAGCTGCACATGTACGTTTTGGACTAGAAGAGAGTATTAATTTTGAGAAAACATTCTTTAATGATGCTGTTCAACATTAATTAGGGAGCTACAATATTTTCCCCCCTGGTCAGAAACTACTTTTTAAAAAGTCTTAACGTGCAAACTACACGGAGGGAAACCAGAGGACCCACACGAAACCCGCAGAAACAGTGTGCGCACAGCCAGCACTTTCTCGCTTTTGGTCTATCGGCAAATATTTCCAGCCTCGTAGAAGCTGGACAGTCTGTACAGGCATCACTCCCACTAAAAACCATAAGCAAAGCGGAGCCCAACACATCTCTACATGGCAAAGTGTCTTTGAAAACAACCGGATTGCTAAGTTTTCTGTCTGTGAACTCATTCAAAAAGGACCTACTGTGTCGTGTGTTCATTTTTCTTTCTCTTGTTCGAGTTGCCTCTGGACAGAAGGCTAGGGCCTGAGGCGAGTTCCAGGAGAATCTAGATGCGGCTTTTCCTCGGGAAACATCCTGAAGAGCAGCTCAGTGGAAAACAACAGACGCCAGAAAAATGGCAGCAGCGACACAACCAAAAACCGAGGGCCGGGGAATGAGGACCCTCCCAGGTGAGAGGTGGCTGCAGTGGGCTCCGGTGTCCCACCCACTGGGGCTGGGTTGAGGGGAAGTGGCCTCTGCTGACCTGAGGCCTTTTATGGGTAGAAACCAAAATCGTGAAGCACCTGGTCTCCACGGCGCCAATGCTGTTAGGCCTTGAGCACATGTATGTGTGTGCACACACACACAGGAGCCCTTGGCACACGTACGTGCATGCACACACACACAGGAGCTCTTGGACACATATTGACGCACTTCCAGCCACGTCGGGCAAAGGCACAGAAATGCAGAAATTTGAGCTTGCAAAGGTGCAAGTGTGGAACATGGACACTGACGTCTTGGTGAGCGCCATCTCCACACACCTGTGCGAGTGCCCTGTGGTGACAGGTCCCACCCAGAGTCAGCCATCATTTGGAGCAGGAAGACGTAGCTGTGTCTGCGGACACGCAGCGTCTGAACCTACAGGTCCATGCTCTGCCAGATTTGGGAAGTTTCCAGCCACTGTATCTTCATGTACCTTCAGCCCGGCCCCTTCCCCTCTCCGGGGATCCCCATGACGCAAGTCAAAGCCTGTTACAGTCCTGCACGTCCTGAGTCCCTGAGGCTGCCTTCACTCCTGCTTCCAGTCTGTCTTCTCTGTTTTCCTGATTGGGTCGTTTCTCCCGGTCCTTATTCCAGGTCACTGATTCTTTCCTCCTTCCCCTCCATCCGCTGCTGAGCTCTCTGCTGAGCTTTTCAGTTATTGTCCTTTTCATTCCTGAAGTTTCCATTTGGCTCTTTTGTATATTTAAATATTAATAAATGTTTATTTATATATTTCCTTGCTGGACTTCAGATTTCTTTGCTGAGGCTTTCTGTTTCTCATATCTCAATGTGTTCATACTTGCTATTTGAAGCATTTTTAGAACCTGCAGCCACAGTGCCCAGGCGAGATCGTGGAGGTGTGTCCCCAGATGCATACCTGCCGATGCGTAGGTGGGGGTGCTGAGTGGCCTCAGTTTGAGGAGGGGTGTGACCTTTCATTTCTATCTGGGGGGCAATGAGCCCCGGAGGCCAACGCTGTTTTTCATCCACAGTAGACTGGATCGTAGAGTTAACGATGGACGAGAAATGTCTGAGTGGACTGAAGGGCCCCCAGCTCTCAGAGCAGCTGTAATAACACCGCTGTGATTCAAGGACGCTCCTGGGCGTCAGCAACAGTGCTGAGGACCTCACACTAAATTCTCCTAGGACCTTTCGAGGCGGGTGCTTTTATCCTGTTTCACGGTGGGAGGCGGAGTTCACCCCAGCACAGCATGCCCCAGGGCTTAGTGATGGGCCGGGTGCCCGCCCTGGTCCTAGCTCCTGACTGTGGCCCTCACTGCCTCTGACGCCACAAAACATGAGCTTGAGTTGAGTGCGTGCCTCCATGTTTCTCCCGGGTCGGTCCTTGTGGGTCGAATTGTGTCCCCCAGTAAGACAAGTTGAAGTCCTAGCCTGTGGACGTGGCCCTACTGGAAACAGGGTCTTTGCAGGTGCGATTACTCTAAGACGAGGTCAACCAGGAGGAGGGTGGGCCCTGACCCCATGAGACTTGTGTCCTCAAAAGAAGATGGAGACGCAGGGTGGAGAGCCCCATGGCAATGGAGGTAGATGGGAGCTATGCCGCTCAACCAAGGGGCACCCAGTTTTGCCAGGAACTGCGAGAAGCTGGAAGAAGCAGGAAGCATCCTCTCCGCCAGTCTTCCGAGGGAGCGTGACCCGCTGACACCTCAGCGTCACACTTCTGGCCTCCAGGAAGGAGAGAGTGAATTCCTGTTGGCTTAAGCCACCCATCTGTGGTGTCTGCTAGGCAACCCAGGACAGTCCTTCAGCACTACATTAGCCAGACCAGGAGCAGTCCTCGGCGCAGGAATTCCACAGGGATCCCAGAGAAGATCACTGCTGGACACTCCATGTATCTGAGCCCCTGCTCCCCGGCGGTGCCTCATTAGATAAAAGCGTCTGGAGTGGGGCAGAGCGACGAAAAGGAATTGGGACTGGGGGAATACAGGGGGGAGAGACCAGAGGTGAGGGGCGTGGATACCAACCTGTGTGTTGGCCCAGACGCACCTGTTGATGGTTAGGGTAGACAGCTCCATAATAACTCCCAGGAGTAACTTATTTTTAAAGATTGGCACTTGAGCTAACAACTGTTGCCAATCTTCTTTTCTTTTTTTTTTTTTTGCCTTTTTTGCTCTTCTGCTTTTTCTCCCCAAAGTCCCCAAGTACACAGTTGTATATTCTAGTTGTAGGTCCTTCTGGTTGTGCTGTGTGGGACGCCGTCTCAGCATGGCCTGACGAGTGGTACCATGTCTGTGCCCAGGATCCGAACCAGTGAAACCCCGGGCCGCTGAAGTGGAGCGTGTGAACTTAACCGCGTGGCGAGGGGGCCGCCCCCACCAGGAGTAACTTTGGATTCTGCTTCTCTGCTTTGGGGTGGGTGCTGCTTCAGCACGTCTTCTGTTTACAGATTTATTATTTTAAATTAAAAACGTATTATAAAGTATATCACACATGCTGACATCTTCAAATCCCCGTCAGTTCCTGCTCAGGCTGCAGCCCGCTGTGGCCGCCTCCCTGGGGTTCGCCCCATCATCTGCTCGTCATTCTCTCACCCTCTTTATAGTTTGTAGCACACACAAGCCCTACACAAATCACCTCAGCTTTACATGTTTCTGAAATACATATAAATGGAATGAAAACTGCGGTTCCAGTCCACACCCTTCAAGCAGTGGTTATGAGTTCCAGGTAACCGTTCCTTGTCAATACTTGGTATTTTCAAACGTGTTAATCTTGCCGTCTGTGAAGTGTTAACGGTAGCTCGCTGACACCAACACGTCTTCTGATGGCCTACGAGGTGAAGCTCCTCTCTCTCCTCTTCCCTTCTCTGCTCTGACCCTACGAGCTCCCGGCCATCTCCCAGCCGCTGAGCGTCTCCAGGCAGAGGCTGGACACGCCCCTGCTGGCCCTGAGAAGGACAGCTCTCAGAGAAGACGTGGCCTGGGTGTCTTCAGTCTCTGAGACTTTATTAGTCACATGTGGGAGATGCTTAAACATAGTTCACGCAGTAGATGCATGGCTGCAGTATACATTTAGCATCAGAGAGATGCCAAAATGCCAAATGTCATGAGGCAGAGCAGTTGGTGTGCATTTTCCCTTGAACATGAATATTTACGTGCCTTTACGTTTGGCATCGCTCTTCAGAAAATGAGGACTGATTCTCCCTGAGAACACACAGCAGCCTATTTCCTCCACCTGCGTGCAGGTGTGTCAGGAAGAGGGGACACTGGACTGGGTGGACAGTGGTTCATGGGTCCCTCAGTGGTGGAATCGTTTTCTGTTCATTAAAGTAGAGCAGAACAAGCCAGACCTCACTATGCTACTTCCCTTCGGGGAAATATGGAGGCAAACAGAAGAAACTGCCTCGGGTTCCTCCAGGGCTGCCGCTGCTGGAGATTCTGTCATCCGGGGATGTGGCTGGTGGAGTAAGACCTCACCCAGGAGCCCTGTGAGGCCACGTGCTCTGTCCTGCTGCTCAGGGAGCGTCAGATCATCTTCTGTGTCCTGTAACCAGGATGGGAACACAAAGGGAAGGTTGGGCATCTCTCCTTACTCCACGAACACAATTTACTGGGAGTCCAGCAGACTCTTCCAGAAGCCAGGCTTTGCTGTTGATAGTGGAGCTCGTTGAAGACCATGACTTTCTTGGAAATGCGATGCCTCCAGGCCTCATGCTGGGAGGCATGTGTCTTGCGGCGTCTCTCCTTGGAAGAGGGGCTCCACCCAACGGCAATGCTCAGGGAAGGCCGTGCGGGGTAGAAAAGTGGAAAAACGAAAAATGCAGATGACTCATGAACCTCTCGACTTCCCGTGAGACAGGAAGGGCAGGTCCTGTGCGGGCAGGCGGCATCACTTCTCGTGCTGTGGGGGACCTCGAGCTCCTGGCTCCAGCTCTGCCTAACAGGGAGGGAAGGCTTCTCTGCATTGTGGTGCACCTGCGGGAGGCCGCCTAGCAGAGCGGTCACACCGAGGACCTGCTGCCTGGGCCCTCCCTGCACGCCGACGAGCAGGGCAACCCGGGGACGTCACTTAACCCTCCACCCCTCACTTGGTCACCTGAAAAATGGGGTGACAGTGGTCCCAATATGCATGGCAGTGATTAACACATGCACAGCTCTTACAACAGTGCCTGGCAGGTAATAAGAACAGCGGGTTAGTGACTGCTTTCGTGCCTATTCTATCAAATTCTGTGATAAGTAAATCGAATATCAGCACAGCAGTAGGCAATGCTAAGAAGCACAGTTTACTGAAGAGAATCTGGAGCTGAAGACGTCTGTCCACCTGCTGTGGCCCTGAGGGGACCTGGCCTCCCATAACTGCGGTTTCTATCTCAGCCACAAGTCCCTCAA